GCTGTGCCGCTGCTTGATCAGCTACTTCGGCGATAGCGTCGTGCCTTCCCTCGGCCGCCAAAAGTATGATCTGGGCCTCCATTTCCTTGGCGCTTACATAACTAAACCTGCATTAGCGAAACAAAGCATCAAATTTCACCTATACAACTGATTCTTGCTCGGGAAAATCGAAATTATCTCATTACATGGGTTTGGCGCGGGGAAATCAAGTTTTTTCGCCTTCAGGTTGAGCATCGCCAGCCTGAAAGCTATTTTTTTTGACCGGAAACGGCCTACATCATTTGCGCAGCCAGATTGGTATTGGCATTATCTATCAATAGGCAGGAATTCATGGACGACGGGCAATACAGCGTCAAAACAGCCTAAATTATATCCAAAAAAAAGTGGTGCCTAGAAAAGCTTACCTTGAAAAAGTTTGAAACACCTTCATTTATTCGAAACAAAAGCCCGACAGTTTCTTTTACCCTAAAATGACATTTTTTCCAACGCTTTCCTCCTTACACCATCAACATTCGGGTGACTGCCGTTTTTGCGCCAAAAAGAGATCGTTGTGACCGGCTTCGTTTAATCAACTCGGCTATGATTTCCTAAACGAATTCGTGGTAGCAAGAAACGAAAATTACATTTTTCTGTCCATGGTGATCAACCTGGAATTTCTTGGCAACAATCTTCACTTTTTCGAGTGAGCAAAGTGTAAGAGCCACCTCCAGCTCGGTGAGATGTTGTTCTTCAAAAACGTATTTTTCTAAAAAATGTGTTTACCGGTATCAATAAAACCATTCGTGGCTAATTCTTGAATTTCCGCTTCATACGAGGTCTCACCGACATCGTTTCTGCAAGCTTACAGGTAAAACTATCAAAATCCCAAACCTTTGAGCCAAATGATCCATTGACAACCATCTTCTCTTTCTCAAAAAGAGGCGCATGAACAGCCGAAGGGCCCTCGGGCTCAACGAAAGAAGCTGCATTCGTTTTATAATTTCAAAAATGGCAAAAATACCCTCTCGAGCTGAAACAAATCGTCCAGCCAGTATTTCTCGTCATAGCGCCAGCCATAACTTGTTGGAGTCGTCAATACCTAAAGAAATATGGAAAATAACTGGCTGGCTTACCCGTCGAATAATTTTCAGCATAAACTCGACAGTGTAATGCAACGATTCGTTTTCTGAATGCGGCTCCTCGCCGCCCGATTTCTGGCTGCGTTGACTTTCCTGAGGCAAAATTAAGAGGAATAAAGCTAAAATCGAACGTAGTAATTCTGAATGGATTGTCTCAGCAAGGTATCACATTTGTTTGCTAGTTTGTCGGCCAGTCCTGCTAATCGTTCTTCTTTTATAAGAGCATCAGTAACTAAACATGAATTTTTGAGTAAGTGATATTTCCATACCATGCTTTTCGGGGGTTTCCTCGATAATTTCTGTAGGTTTCAAAGCGGTTCTTGGCGATTTAGGCTTCGATGAATGTACTGCCTCAACACGTGGGCGTATCGGTGTTGGACGTTCACGTTTGCGCGACTAAAACAAATCGTTGAAATATAGATCCAATGAACCGTGCTGGGTTGAGTTTGAAGTTGAGCATCCCCATTTTCAGGATTTTGAGCTTCTTCAGTAGCCAATGTTGCTTTTGTTCTTCGCCTTGTAGAGCGTGTTGTCGTCTCCTTCTATAAATTCCTATAAAATAGAAACATTTTGATACCTGTGTCGTTTCAACGATTGTTTCTTCGCAAAATGAGCTGTTCTGGGTGGCACGAAGGCTTCTTCGTGTCATCCGAGTCCGCCTCGCGTCCTGAAATAAAAATAAATTTCGTTTTGACGGTATACCTCAATGACCGTCGGCTCGTTATTAACGTTATTTTTTGCCGGGCGTCTTCTTGATCTCGGCGCCTCTTCAAAAATGGGCTCGGCTAATTCTTGAGCTTCAGCAGTGTCGCTTTCCTCGATAACGTTGGAAGTACCGGCCACTTGATCGTCTTCGATTACGACATCGGGCTCCTAGAATTTCATTTTCATTATCTTCCAATCGAATACCTCTGGTTCTTCCTTCAATACAACTATCTCCTCGGTTGTCTAAAATTCGTACAATTTCAAACCATCTCATTTCTCTTACCTCTATCAGCGAATCATTCAAAGTTATTGTCACGGCATTAAGCCCACGTCGTCGCGATTTTTCCTCTGCATCCAGAACATCGATGACCTAGAAACAGATCTACATCGCTCGAGAAAGAAGTAGAACTTCAATATCTTCATCGTCCTCGCGTAATTTACAGGATTTCCGATGCAGAGCGAAACTGGCTAGGTTGATCTTTTCGTTACCTAAGACTCTAAAGTTTTTATAAAGCAAAAAATCTTACAAATTGGACATTCTTTTCCTTCTATCTGCTTTTTCAACATTGTCAACACATTTCCGCGGCCGACGACGGGCTTCTAAGCTTTGATTAAGTTATTTTTAGAGCTCGAACTTGCCTGGTTTTTAAATTCATTCGGTTTCTTCCGAAAGGTACTGTTCATCAGCTCTGAAAATTGATAGAAATCAAAGAAAAGAAGAAATTAGGAAAACGAGCACATTTTTTCAGGTAGAAACTTGAAAGGAAAAATTTATTTTGAAAAAGTGGCGAGCCTTTTTTCATGGCGTAAACCGTTCAAAGGAGCGGCTATAAAAATACTCTTTTTATCAAGTTTTTAGTTTTGATAGTAAGAAATTCGATAGTTTCTTTGCAGTTTCGTTTGTAAAAAGTGATTGTTATTTTTGTATCGATTAGTTACTTTTCAATAAGTCAATCCTTTCAGCGCGCCTGCTGGGTGCATGCTTTTCGGGCGCCTTGGAAAATTAATTACAAGTTGTTTTGTGGTAAGGTTTCCAAGATGCCTAAAATCTTAATATCTAGAAAATGCCATCCCGCAATAACCCGTTGGTGGTCGTCATCGGATGCACCGGGACCGGAAAGAGCGACCTAGGCGTGGCGATTGCCAAGAAGTTCAACGGCGAGGTCATCAGCTGCGATAGTTTACAGATTTATAAAGGTATTTACTATCCTAGTTTGAGGTATTAAATTGTGCTTTTAATTTAGGAATGGATATCGCGACCAACAAGATTACCCCGGAAGAAGCCCAAGGAGTTGCTCATCACTGTATGTCGTTTGTTGATCCGGTGTCTTCCTCATCTTTCACCTCCCCACAATTCACGGTCCACGACTTTCGCGAAATGGCGGTCAACAAAATCAACGAGCTGCACAAATGTGGAAAGGTAATTCTGGTCAAGCGATTGGCAATTTTTGTACAGCTGCCGATCCTAGTTGGTGGGACGACCTACTACGCCGAAGCCGTTTTATTTGAAAACAATCTGATTGCAGATAATGGCGGTATTGTTTCTTTTTTTATGTCAGAGACAATTTAGAGCCGAGCGAAAGTGACTCCGACGCAGAAGTTGAAGGGGCGAGCTTTCAAATGTTGACAAATGCCGAATTGCATGCCCATTTGAAAGCGGTAGCGTTTCAGGGCAGTTTGCTTTTATCTTTTTCATTCAGATTGATCCCGAATCTGCAGCCCTCGTGCACCCAAACAATCGATATCGTGTTTTACGGGCCATTCAAATCTTTGAAAAGACTGGTAATTTCACAAATAATCACCCAACGAGATTTTTTTCAGGAAAACGCAAATCCGAGCACCGAGCAAACCAAAAGCCTCATTTACGATACATCGATACTGTCGTCTTTTCACTAGATGCTGACCTGAAAGTATTAGATGAGAGATTAGACAAGAGGTATATTTCAATGATTTTCACCATGTTTTCTAGAGTCGTGAAAATGCACACAAGCGGTCTTCGCGAAGAACTCGAAGCATTCTACGACCAGGTCCAAACTTAAATAATTTTCCACAATCTTTATAGCACAAGCATGTCGTCGAATTGGGCAGCTACGGCATTATGCAGGCCATTGGCCTCAAGGAATTCGTACCATATTTGGAATTAAAAGTCGAAGATCGAAGAAGTGCATTAGGTAATTGAAAACGGTTTTTTTTTATCTGTTGTAGGTGATTCGACCTTCACGCAATGCTGTGAGATGGTGCAGCTACATACCAGGCAGTATTCAAGGAAACAGCGGAGCTGGGTGAAGAGCCGGTTGATGCAAAGGCGAGAGGGCAAGGAGGTGATTTTCTTTGTATTATTAATTTTGAATTATAATAATTTAGCTGCCTTCGATCATTCCCATCGACACGTCCAATCCAAATGACTACATCCCAAAAGCGTTAGAAAAGCTGTCCGATTGGGAGCGCGGTGTCAATTTCTATCCAGGGAAAGCGGCAGAATTAGGTAATTTACGCTATTTTCTTTCGCTGACCATATAGTTTTTCAGACGCAAATGACTACTACGAAGCTGCGAATCGACAACATTACTGTGAATTATGCGGGATTATGGTAGAATTCCCTTTTTAAGTCCCAAGTTTCATTTTAGGTGCAAAGTGATGCGTCTTATCAGAAGCACCTTGAAGGCAAGAAGCATAAAGCGATGAAGAAGCGGTCCGCCAAACCGGATGCCCCAGGCGACTAATACTTTTGATGCATGTTTGAGATTTCTATTTTGTTGTAGATAAATATTTTTTTCAGAAGTTGTTTGAAGGAGTTTGCGCTTATAATGCGGTTGGCTAATGGATTGATGATGCCTTGAATTGGTTTAGAATTGATTAGGGCTACGCTAGAATATCTCAAGAAGAGCTTCCCCTTTTTGTTTATTTTTCCAACCGAGACATCTCGATTGGTAGGGCCCGAGGCAACCCGACCAACCGTACCCCCCCTCTCTACACGCGGCCACTTCTTTCCACCCTATAGCGTCATCCAGCCCTCCCCACACCCCAGATTGCAACGTTAACTTGCGAGATTAAACTTCTATCCCCCACGAATATGCTGATTTAACTATAGAAGCCTATATTAGTGTGGAAAGGTATATTCTTATTCACAATCCGAGCTTGTTCCTCACAACCCGCTCTTCAAACATTTTTTCAGCGATGTTAGCTCACGATTTCCTGAAAAAGGATGAGCGCTCCTTTCGGCCAACTTCTTCATCCAGGTACCCAATCTTTAAATTGAACAAAATATTTGATTCAGATCTGCCTGGTATTTCATAGCTCTTGTGGTGGCCAAATTGCTGCGCTGCGTGGGGATATTCTTCATCGACATCTTGGCCAAATCACTGCATGTGGTCACCCTGTTGTGGTTGTTTAAATTAGCGTAAGTTTTACGGCTAGTATAATGAAATCTAAATATTTAGGACAAGTGCATTGTTAGTGCCTCTGCAGAAACCGTTTACGACCGGTAAAACGTTGCGGAAACCGACGGTATTTTTTATTCAGGGATCTTTTAAGCTACTCTTTTTTTAGTTAGCGCGAATAGGAAAGTTGGCGTTATGGAACTGCTTGATAGAAGTATTCTGGTTTTACGGGATAACGTTTTGCGGGCCATTGAGGTGAGCTGAAGGTACTTAAATTGTCAAGATTTTCTTTTAGATCTGTGCTGATTTTCGAGCTTTCTCCATCCGTCATCTTGATAGCCATTGTTTCGTTCTTCAAGGTAAGGATTTTCAGATGTTCCGTGAATTGCTTCAGAACAATTCCACAACGGCTAGAACAAGAGGGCTATTTTTGTTGCTGGTCGGCTTTGTTGCATTGATGTTAATGGACAAAGATAGCTCGATCGAGGATGAGCATAGTGAGCTTTTTGGGTTCTTTCGCAGTATTGGGGGAGGAAATAGCGGAAGTGCATCTAAACTGTTTTTTTTTTGCTAGTCCTAAGCGTACAAAGTTACAAATTGCTATTAAAAATACAACAAATATAGATTTTCTACTTCGACCGAATGGCGTTTTTGCCCAAAATGAAGCAAGCTTTGAAAAATTTTTCAAAGCTTTTGGATAGTTTTCTAGTTGACATATAGTTTTAGCCTACTAAAAATATTATGAAAAGACTTTTGTTACTGGGCATTTCTAGTCTCACAAAAAAAAGTCCCCCCCGATAATAGAAAGACCCGTTTTTTGTAATCTTCAACACCCTTTTTTTCCAGACAAGTCCCACGCGCATCACTCTGGGCTGAACCACCTCTTCTACCACGTGATCGGCATGTTTGGTGTAGCTGATCATCAGGGCGGCGTCTTCATCTTGATTCTGGCCCTGTTGTTGCGGATAGGTATCAAAATATCTTTAGCGTTATTTTGCTTTCTTTAAGGCTACGACACCTCTTTCCGACATCTAGCCGTCGAGTTGGGCGGCCCGAAGAAGCTGCATTCCGTGGTCTCGCTCTTCTCGGCGGTCCTGTTGATGCCGATTGGTCTTCTACTCTTTTTGACAGGAACGGTAGGTCTCTTTTTGGTTTTAAGAAATGGAGAAGCTTCTTAAGGTCCTGGATAAGCAAATAAAAGCTACAATTTCAGTCTCATGTTGATGGCTGGGCGACGTTCCTGTTCTGGGTCTTTGTGGCCAGCGTGTTGGTGATGGTAATCGACTTTTACGCGGAGGCGCTTTGTTTCCAGGTGATTTTTTTGTTTGTTTTTTTTTGATGTCCGGGATTCTTTTATTTTAATATTTTATTTGCACCTGGTTATAAAACCCGAAATGAACGAAAAAAATAATAATTTAAAAAGATAAATAAATTATATAATTTTAATAGTTTAAATTTACAGCACGTTTCGGATCCGGTGATGGCCGCCGCCCGTTGGTCCCCGGTTACTATGTTTACATGCGCCCTGGCATTGGCTTATGCTTGGTAGATTTATTTTCATTTTCAAGACCTCATTTTTAGGTATTCTGGCCAAGCAACCCACGCGGTCACCGGTGGTGTTATTGTTACATTTGTCGCCTTTGTTCTTGGTTAGTTTAGTTAAATTCAAAAAACTTGAATTTTAAGGTACCATATCCCTAACTTCATCAAATACCCCGAAGTCCCGTGGTGGGCACTTTGTTGGACTGTCCGACTCGGGAACGCCCCTCTTCACCCATGGCGAAGCGTTCCTGCAACGGACCGGCCGGAATATGATGCTTTTCGTGAAGGTGGGGAAAGATTACGTTAAGCAATTTTGTTTTATGTTTATCTAAGCTATTTGTATTTTTTATTTGCTTTTACGCATTATTTTTGTTGTAGGAGACGCTACGCGAGATTTTGGCCAACGGGGATTCGCGGAGGATCTTCTACTTCCTGTGCGTCAACCTGAGCTTTTGCGGCGTCGAGTTCCTGTATGGCTTCTGGACGAACTCGCTGGGCTTGATTTCGGACGGCTTCCACATGTTGTTCGATTGTTCAGCGCTGGTGGGTAAAGGATTTTAAACAAATTATAAGTTACGGAGAAGGAGTAGTTTTAGATGATATTTTGGAGTTTCGGACGTAGCTTATTAGGTAGAAAAATTAATACTAAGCCAACTAGCGTTTTTGTAAGTGCTAAACGATTCACGCTCCCAGGAAAATAAAATTAATAAAGAACAAATTTAGACCAATATATTTGCTAATTTCAGGTGATGGGCCTTGTCGCTTCAGTTATGGCCCGTTGGCAAGCGACGAAAATTACACCTACGGCTTTGGACGCGTTGAGGTAAGGCTTTTTATGAAACTTGAATTCCTTCCGCTCAGGTCTTGTCGGGCTTCATCAATGCAATGTTCCTCTGTGTCATTGCAACGTTTATCCTGATGGAGGCGCTACAACGGCTCTTCGACCCTCCGAACATCAACACCGACAAGCTTTTGGTACGTTTTGAATTAAACAAAAAACAAAATTGCGTGTTACATATTTTTACAGTTTTTATCGTTTTTTATTATTAAAAGTCATTAAAAATTGGAAAATTGGATTTTTCACCATTTTCACAAATTTTACTAAAAAGCGTAGATTTTTTGAAAATTTGACAACTTTCTGATTCCTTACTATGCTTATAAGCAGCTTATTAAGACTATGTTTATTTGATTTTTGAGACGCGGCGACATGTCAAATTTATTTTTCCACCCCTGCTAACAGTCCAATTCCATTTTCACCGCCTTTTTTAGTTCGTCGCCATCTCCGGGCTGGTCGTCAACTTGTTCGGGATGTACTCATTCCACGGCGGCGATGATCACGGACATGGGCATTCTCACGGCGGTGGTTCGCATGGGCACAGCCACGCTAATGCTAATATGGAGGGTAAGGTTGACTTTGGATTTTTATCCAATTTTCAGGCGTGTTCCTGCACGTTCTTGCCGATACGCTGGGCTCCGTTTTCGTCATTATCTCGACGTTGCTTATTCAGGTTAGTTGGGGATCTAATTTTTGGCATTTTGCCAGCGATAAAAAAAATACATTTTGTTGATTTAGTGGTTCGGTTGGACTTGGGTCGACCCGTTGTGCTCACTGATCTTGTCGTTGCTGATTCTCGGCTCTGTCTATCCACTTCTCACATCGTCTAGCAAAACGCTGCTTCAGGTTCGGGATATTTATTTTGTCATTTGTATCTTCTTTTTTTAGAACATCCCTGATGAGATCGACGAACGCTTCGAGTATAATCTATCGGAGGTCTTGGAGGTAAAAGATTTTTTGCACGCTTGACCTAATTCCGCCTTTCAGCTGGACGGCGTCGAGAGCTTCTCCGAGTCGCACTTCTGGCAGTTGAAGAGTGACCTGAACGTCGCCTCCCTACACGTCCAAGTCAAGGAGGAGGCCAATGCGCAGATGATCCGGAATCGGGTATGGGTCCGAGTTTTGTGCTGTAATTTTCGTTATGGACGATTTTTAGGGTGTTTCTATAGTAGTGGCTACTAGGAGGCCAACTTTTTAAAAATAGTTTAAAAATAATTTTTCGGAGTATTTCATGCCTTTTCCAACAAAAAAAAAAGCATAAGAAAAATGTTATGCTATTTCTTTTACTGATAAACGGCGTAAAATGCGGCCAAAAGGGCGTGCCTTGATTATTGGAGTCGCAAACAGTCTACAACCTTCATTTTGACTCTTTTAGGTGGTGGCGTTGCTGAAAGCGGCGGGAGCCACGCAGGCTGTTGTCCAAGTTGAGAAGGGGGCATTCCACCACATGATTCAACGGATCTGCCCTTCCTATCGATTACCGCATCGTGTCCAGAAGGGGTCATTCATTCCGAAGGCCAGACAGGTACGCAAATTGATCTTCTGGTGCTGGACTGTTAGGAGGGGGGACACTTTTTGTTTTCTTTCCACTTTTGATGATATTTACGTATTTTTATACTGTTTTTAGTCGTTTTTCATTGCTAGAAAGTTACAAAAATATTTTTTTTATTTTGACCTGTTTTGGTCATATATCATACATTTTTGACCAAAAAGTCAAAAATGTTCGAAAATTTTTAGTATTTTATATTATTTTTATCTAAAAACTATGCAAATGACTATATAAATGGGTTATATTTTGTTATGGGGCCGTAGAGGATCACAGGGGAAAATTTTGTGCCCCCGCTAACAGTCCAGTACCGATCTTAGAACGGCGCCGCTCACGGCCATTCCCACGACGACCATGGCCACAGCCACGGCGGTGATCATGGCCACTCACACGACGGCGGTTGCAATTCGCATGGCCACAGCCATTGACCGCCATCCCCTCCTAGAATAATGTAATTTTTGCTCGTGTTGTGATTCCGATGATCTAACAGATGCATCCGCTATTCCGCTCGTCTACTAGTCCATAATTGTTTCAGAATACTACTCGTCATCTGTCTCTCTGTCTCCAGAATCCTCTGTGATCATCCCTCCCCAATCAACATGTCCTATCCACTTTCCACTGCGGGTCCTTGATAATTATTCTTGGTTCCGTCCTGTCGTTTATTATCTTTTGCGAGGTCGCTCTGTGGGGTCGTGTATCAAGTGTGTGTATGCCTTTATCGAAACTCGTCATTGTCCGCTATCCCAGCCTATTTTTGAGGAAGCTTTTTAATAATAAATATATGGAAATAAGGGTTCCGTTCTATTTCGCGGGGGGGAAAAAACTGTGCGGGGGGGAAAATATGCTTCGCCAAAACTACTATCTCTTCGCTATTTTCTCGGGATTTTTGCAGCGCCATTCGATAGAGCATCAAAAAAATACTAAGAGTTTTGTTTTAGCTAAAAATATTGTAATATAAAGGTTATAGCAAAAACAAAAAAACTATTGTAACTGGTGCCGAAATGGTAGTTTTCGGCGTTTTCGCCCGTTTTTCGATCTTTTGAACCCGTCATTCGATAGAGCATCAAAAAATATACTAAGAGTTTTAATTTCATCTAAAAATATTGTTTTATAAAATAGTTATAGCAAAAACAAGGTTTATACGGTGTTTCCACATGGGATCGTGGAGTCGAAAGCTAGTTTTCGACATTTTCGATATTTTTAAAAAAAATACCTTTTATGCCATTCGATAGAGCGTCAAAAAATATACTAAGAGTTTTAATTACAACTCAAAATAGCAAAATCCAAAAGAGTTATAACAAACCGAAGAACATTTTCCCCCCCGGGAAATAGAACAGCACCGAAATAAGAATTTTAAAAAACCTCTAATTTTTCCGTTAAATCCAATTTTTCTGGTATTCCTTCTGGAGAATAAAAAAAAACTATTGAATAGTTGTTTATCAATGGATTTTTATTATTCCTACGCGCAAAAACTACAAAAAGTATTACAAAGGGCTAAAATATAGACCTCTCAGCTATATTTGAAATTTTTAAACGTTTTTCTAGTTTTTTTTAGGTATAGCTTATAGAATTTCCACGTAATGTTGGTAAATTTCACTAAAAAAGCTACTTGCTATCACGCAATTGAGCAGATCTTGAAGAATTCGGGGTCGCCCCCCGGAAATCGTAAAGTACCGAAATCCAAGCGTTTTTAGAATTTTGGCAGTACCCGTGCGTAAATGCTACCCATTTTTCGGCAGAATAACCCATCAATCCACCCCGCTACCAGCTGACCTCCGCGATATTTTCGGCGCGCGCGAACAAAACGGTGTGCTCGGATCGCGGAGCCTTTTTCAGGAAAGGCCATCGGCACCCATCCATCCATCGCCCTTCCCCCCTTCTTTTGTCTGCCCCTTCAGCATCGGCACAAAGAGCATCCCCCGTCCCTCTTCTGTCTGTCCGTTTGTCTGTCTGTCGGTCAGTTTGTCGGTTTGTCTACAGGTCCACCGCTAGCGGCCTGTATATACAACGAATTCACACCCGCCCGGTCGAAATCGAGCTCCTAAATTCTCCCAAACCGCGAAAAATGCTTATTTTTTGCGCTCTATAGCTTTTAGGTTCTTTGGCATTATCGGGGGGGGGGGGTAATATGTTCCTATGAGTCAGGACATGCCTAGTAACTGAATAGAGTGTATTTTAATAGTTTTTAGTAAAAATGTTTTTGATGTTAGGTAATAGTCAAAAACAGTTGAGAAACACCCAACAACAGTTTTGTCCTTTGCTTCTGGTACGCTGCTACGCAATTGAGAAGAAAATCAGAAGAAAAGGAAAAAGAAAATTCATAAAACGTACATCATCAAGTTATAAACTGGTACTGGTCTGTTAGTGGGGATGTATTTTCCTACCGGTCAGAAAATATAGTCTATGTTTACAGTGCTTTAATTGTTTCTGATTGCTAGGAGATCAGAAAATATTTTAAAAATTTTGCAACGGGCATTTTTGACAATTTTTGGTCATTTTTTCATAATTTTTTACTAAAAAATCAAAACGTTAATTTTTCGGAAGGTTAAACTGTATAAACTAAAAAATTTAGACCGTAAAATCTTACCGTATATTTCGCGAAACGTTCACCCGGTCCCGGTCCCGTTCTCTCACATATCCAGGTCGTCACAAATAGCCCATTCGGCGCCCCCCGACCGGGGTGCCAATTTTCTTACTTTCCGGTGCTCGGAAATGTAGGGGGAGAACCGGCTCCGGCACTCCCCGAATCCATTCGCCCGCACCTAGCAGCCCTCGTCCTGCTGCCAGTCGACGAGGAGCATGAGCACGAGTTGTTGCTTCCTTTAGGGGCTACAGGTGCGTATTCGGGATCTTGCTCTGATTCAGTTCACGCTTTTTGATTTAGTGTTGAAAAAAGCTACGGTTCAAGCTCCTTTAATCGTAAAGCCCTTCACTTGATGCTTTTAGGGTTCTTTCGCGTTATCGGGGGGGCGGAATTTTTTCCTAAAGCCCGGAAATGCCTAGTAAAATTAGAAAGATAGTATTTTTAGTAAAATTTAAATATAGTTGACGTTAAAAAAGCCAACAAACTTCGGACAATTTTTAGCTCGAATTTTGTCGAAAATTGCCCGTTTTTGGTCGAAAAATCGAAATTTGTGTATGTTTTACCGGAAATTTGTAAAGTTTTCACGTTTAGGGATAATCTAAACAGTTTAGAAAGCTTTCTTTTATATAAAAAATCCGTAGAAACAAAGAGAAATTTTGGATAATGTTCTCTGTGCTTTTTCACATAAAGGACCTCTAATTTCGTTCCAAAGCTTCAACCATATTTGACTCCACGCCGTGAAGATTTCAGCCCGATTTCGAGCCGATCGCTCGGCCATCTGCCGGCGCGGGCTTTCCTGAAACCGCAAAAAAGCGCAAGACACTTCGGACCCAAGGTCACACCGTCGTCTATTTACCCGGGCTATTGTCGGCGGGTTGCCTCGAAATCGGCTCGTGTTTCACGCTGGGCTGGGCAGCATGGGTTTTTTGCCTGTTTTTAGTCGAGGTTTTTCTTCTTAAAGGGATTAAGATGTCGTAATCGGTTTTTAGACTTCTAAAGTGCTAAATTCAATGTTTAGGGGGCAATAGACTAGCGTGTTCAGTGGAGCGCCGCGTTTTCGATATTTCTAGTACGATCCGCTACTTTGTACCGGGTTTCCCGCTGCGCTCTTTGCATTTCCCGCGTATTTGTTACCATTTTTTTTGCGAAACAACAAGTAGGGGGCAATAGATTAACGTGTTCAGTGGAGCGCGGCGTTTTCGACTACGCGGCACTACTTCGTATACATCAACCCGTGCATTCCCCGCAATTCCCGCGTTTTTGTTTAATTTTTACTCGAAGCTTCAGCCATTTTTCGGGGGGTTATTTTACATTGCGTAAGCCGATACCATACCCCGCACCATTCATTGTTTATCGTTGAGGCTAAACTGTTGGTGCTCCAGCTGTGGCCTGGCTGGGGTGCTTCTCCCCAGGTTGACCTAAACGTGATGGCCGTTCCGGGGGGCACCAGATGCTCCTCTTCCTCTTCCTCCTCCTCCTCCTAGGGCCACCGGTCACTCGGCCGTGTCAGCTGTAATGTTCGTACTCCACGATTACAGGCACCCCACATTGGTCTTTTATTGCCCCCTCAAGGGGGTTATACGGCCGGCTTCACACATTTACGCCTTGGCACCCGCCGATTAGAGCGGGTCGGCGCAAAACTTGTAAAATTAGCCCCGTACGCCCGGAAGGCAATAGTGCCAATCTTTTTTGAGAATTCGTTCGATAGAGCGATAAATTCTCTACAAGAGAACGCTTTCAAAAAACGACTAGAAGGCTACGGTAGCCGAGATAAATCGATTCCAGTTTTTTTGCGGGAGAATTTTCTATTGGAGGTGTTTCGAATTGTTTTTTTTTTGTACTATTTCCAAACGTACCTACGTAAAACCGTGCAAATTTCTATTAAAAAAATACCAAAAAAATTGATTTTTCGACCAAAAATGGCCAATTTTCGATTTTTAAATATTAGAACGTTTTTCCGCTTGAAATATAGCTAAATTTAATTAAAGCTAACTATATAGTTAAATTCTACTATTTTACTTATTTTTAAAAACTGACTATTATATTACTAGGCATTTCTGGACTTCTTCGAAACATCCACCCCCCCCCTGTTAATGCAAAAGAACCCAATCCGTTTCTTGCAAAGTGTTAAAGGTAGAGGCTCTCTTCAGCCACCCGCTATTTTTTTCTATATTATTTTTATTTTATAAAATTCTAAAAACTAGTTTCAGCCGAGCGAACCGGCCTTTGGGTGCATTTTAGAAAACGGAGCTATGTATAGCACCAAATTTCTGACCCCACTAGCAGCCCTTGTTTCCGGTCCCATTCTCATCCAATTCCACCCGCACATCCGACAAATCGCAGCCTATCATTCGTTCCCCTCCCAAATCCCATGCAAATCCATAAAATCGCCCAGCGGCCGTTCCCCCGAGCCGAAATCGGGCGATTCGAGCGGGTGAAACCGCAAATTTGCATGTCGCCCGCGCTGCCCCATTCGGCGGTTTATGCTCTCCGCGCCGGGGGGGCGATACCCGTTCCATTGGAGGAGCAGGGCTCGGGCTCGGCCTCGAGTTATAAGATTTGAGAGTTGGTTTTTATTTATTTTTATGGTTTAGGTAGATTCTGGCCTGAAAACCGGGTGTTATTTTGTGCAAAAACAAGCACGTGTCTGAGCGAATTTCCTTCGGGTTTTTGGCAAATTTTTCGCTAATTGTAGTTATCATTCTAGCGCGCTATAATACTGTACTCGCGCTTTCGCTACGTTCGGCTACAAAACACGAGGATTTACATTGCGTAAACGGTTTACCTCCCTTTTGCCGACACCTTGATTCTTTTTTCTTTTTGCCGTTTTGCTTACTTGTT